CATGGAGAATTGAGGATCTTTGAGACTCCTGGATCCAGATCCATGGAAAATTGTGGATCTTTGAGGCTCTTGGATCCAGATCCATGGAGAATTTTGTCTGGAATTCTGATCCATCCCTCCAGGGTGACGAGGGCATCGTGGGACTCCGTGGTCCCGTGGGAATGATGGTGAGTGTTAATTTTATATATAAAATATAAATAAATAATATTTATATTATGTTTGTATTAATTATATCTAATCTAAATAAATAATATTTATATTTATATTAATTATATCTGATCTAAATAAATAATATTTATATTATATTGATATTAATTATGTCTAATCTAAATAAGTCATTTATATTGCATTTATAATAATAAAGTATCTAAATAAATTATATTTATACTATATTTATATTAATTATATCTAATCTAAATAAATAATATTTATATTGTATTTATATTATTAATATGTAATCGAAATAAATAATATTTATATTATATTTATATTAATTATGTCTAATATAAATAATATTTATATTATATTTATAATAAAAATATAGTATCTAAATAAATTATATTTATACTATATTTATATTAATTATATCTAATGTAAATAAGTCATATTTATATCATTAATATGAATAATATATAAAAAGAAATAGAAGATGTAAACTGAAATAAAAAGAAAATAAAAGAGAAAATTAAGAAGAAATATATAAATAAAAATAGAAATAAATAAAATAAACAAAAATAAAAGAAAAATAAAGAATAATTAAGGTAAATAAATAAATAAAATTTAAAAATTAAAAAATTGAATAAAAATAAAATAAGGAAGAAGGTAAAGAAGAAAAAACAAATATAAATAAAATTAAGTAAAATAAATAAAAATTAAGTGAAAAAGAAAAAAGAAATAAAATAAATATAAAGAACTAAATAAAAATGTAAATAAATAAATTAAAGAAAAATGAAATTACAAAAAAATAAGAAAGAAAATAAAGAAGAAAAACATACATGAAAATAAAAATAAATAAGTAAAATTGAAATAAAATAAAATAAAAATAAAATAAAGAAAAATGAAATAAAAATATAAATAAATAGAATAAAATAAATAAAAGTGAAATTAAAAGAAAAGAAAAGAGAAAATAAATATAAATAAAAAGAAAATAAAAAAGAAAATCAAGAAGAAAAATATATAAAAAGAAAAATAAATAAAATAAGTAAAAATGAATTTAAAAAAAGAAAAAATAAAATAAAAATAAATAAAAATTAAATAAAAATATAAAATAAATAAAATAAATTAAAGTAAAATTACAAGAAAATAAAAAAGAAAATAAAGAAGAAAAACATGAATGAAAATAAAAATAAATAAAGAAAATTGAAATAAAAATAAAATAAAAATAAAATAAAAATAAAGAAAAATGAAATGAAAATATAAATAAAATAAAATAAATGAAAATTAAATTAAAAGAAAAAAGAAAAGAAAAAAGAAAATAAATATCAATAAAAATTAAACTAAAAGAAAATAAAAAAGAAAATTAAGAGGAAAAATAGAAATAGAAATAGAAATAGAAATAGAAATAAATAACATAAGTAAAAATGAAATTAAAAAATAAAATAAAAATGAATAAAAATTAAATAAAAGCTAAAATAAATTAAAGTGAAATTACAAGAAAATAAAAAAGAAAATAAAGAATAAAAATATAAATGAAAATAGAAATAAATAAAATAAGTAAAAATGAAATAAAAATAAAAAATAAAATAAAAACAAAGAAAAATGAAATAAAAATATAAATGAAATAAAAATATAAATAAAATAAAATAAATAAAAGTGAAAAGAAAAGAAAGGAAAAGAAAAGAAAGGAAAAGAAAAGAAAGGAAAAGAAAAGAAAGGAAAAGAAAAGAAAAGAAAAGAAAAGAAAAGAAAAGAAAAGAAAAGA